AACATGGACTGGTTGGCACTGCTCCCCTCTTGGCTAAACCGGTTTAGCTGATCCAGTCAATTCAACCCCCTAGGGAGCCCCGCGTCAAATAATCAATAGAATACTTGCAAGAATGCCCGACGAAAACAAGAGAAGACAAAGTAGGCAAAAGTTGGCTTCAATATGCTGGCAATAATCAAAATAGAGGAACATTCATACTCATCAGCACTGATTAACCAAATTTCATATTTCAAGTATCTGGCCTATAATTTGCAAACTTTCTTATCAATAGTCCTATTAAGAGTTACACCATTATTATTTTTAACCATGGTTGTGAAAACCGAACCGGAGGTCAAATCGGAAGAAGAAAATGTTCAAGGTTTACTGGTTTGACTGCAGTTGAACTAGAGGTTGAACCGGATAATGTAATAAATTATAAATTTATTTAAATATGACATGAATGATATATTTAAAAAAAATTGATTACTAAAATATAAAAAATATATATACAAATATTTAAATAATAAACACCACAATAATTTCCAAAAAATTATTCTAAAATTTAATAATTACTTTTTAAAAAAATTAAGTATGAAATATAAAAAACTCATTACGATAATTTTGAAAAAATATATGTAATGAATAAAAATTAAATATTATTAAAATCTAAGAGTAAAATCTTTCAAAGATATGTTGGCTGCTCTTCCTCCCATCCCTAAATCCGTCACTTGGCACTGAGGAATTGTAATCATTTCTTTCACCAAACTCCATTTATTAGTTGTTGGTTTCCACTTTCCAATGTCATTTATCTCCATTGGAAACCCCTCTCCATTGCAACCTCCCTATGCAAAGCCCACCTTATCTTTCCAACGCCACTTAAGTATTAAAAAAAATACAATTTTCGGTCAAACCGGCCAGTTTTGGTCGGTTCAACCCGATTCAATGTCAGTTCAATCCAGCTCGATGCGGGAGCGGTTATTAAGCTATCCCGAACCCGACCACTAGCCGGTTCACGGTCGACTGATCGAACCTGCAGGTTTGCAGGTTCGGTCTAGTTTTCTAAACCATGCTTTTAACAATTTTTTTTTCTTAAATACAGACTAGGTTAGTTTTGTCCTTTACACATGTTTTCCTATCCCTGCATCCCTCCTTGATAGTGCTTTCCCAGCTCGCTTCTCTGCAGTACGCATCACCTGAGTCCTTTTTCCATTAAACATGTATCCGACACAACTTATCTTATAGATTCTGATGAGACTTTCTCCTTTTTGTGCAAGTAAGCAAGGCAGAAAATCTCAATAAAAGCAAGATAAATTTCTTTTTTATTATAAAAGGTTAAGACTATTGTGGCATTTCCATGCATATAAAGTAGAATAACTTCTCTTTTATAGTACCATATTCAGATTACACTAAACAAGGACAAATGGAGAAATAATAATCCACAAACGACACCCCAAATAATTGTAATAAAGCTTCCGGTGAAGATGACCATGATGATGACATTTTCTACATAAGATAACAATGCATGTCGAATAATAACTAACCAAAAGTCCTTAAATTAAGTTCAATGTTCCCATCCCCTGACCAATATTTTCTCAACTTCGCCTACTTTACTGAAACCGACCTCAATCCCAATCCTTTCTAAGCGCAATCAGTTTGCCAACAACACATTTGACGAAATGTCCCACAAGGCCAAAAAACAAAAAAAGCAAAAACCAATGAAGAGATAAAGCTCGGCGTGGATAAGAATCAACTTATCTACCGGATTGTGTGCGTGTTGAAGAAGATAAGGGCTGTGCTCAGTGGCAAGGCGGTTGGTGTATCTCGGGCCCGTTTTGCTCGATTCCTCCATTGAGAAAACCCGTATGCAGCGAAGGATTCGCCGACGAGCGGTGGAGGTGTAGGGGAAGGGATGTCGGCGGGGGAGGGCTGAAAATCCTGCGAAGGAGAGATGGTGAGAAAGAAGTGCCATTGAGAATGGACTCCCGGAAATTAGTTAGCCCGACAGTGGCTGCGGCGTGCGTGTGGGTGGTGTAAACGAGTCTGTTAAGCTCGAGTTAAGTTTGGTTAATTTTATCGAGTTCGTGTTTAAGTTCACGAGTTAGAGTCCGTTCACGAGTCTCTTTTTTTTTTTTTTTTTTTTTTTTTTTAAAAAGGAGAAAAAATATTAATTTAAGG